CATTAGGAATGAATTCACATATTTGTTTTCTTATTTACTGTTATTTTAAATGACAATATAAGGATAAACCACAAGACATGTATAATTCCCATTTTTACCATAGTGTATTAAGAGCAGTTTAGGGCCGGGGATTTAGCTCAGTGGTCCCGCCGCCTGCCTCGCAAGCGCAAGGACCCAAGTTCGATCCCTGGTACCAAAAAAAAAAAAAAAAGAGCAGTTTATACCAACTATATAAGAATCCTAAAATCTACACCATGGATAGAATTTCAAATACAATTAAAACATTATTTTATAGTCATAATATCTACCCCACTGGAATAAACAAAACATGCTTTGTTAAAATAAACTACAGTGGTAGTTCACAAATGCTTTTGTTTGTGAACAATTTGGTTTGTAAACAAAAGAGTTTGGCAAAATTTTGTTTTTGTTTGCAAACTCTACATCAGGTGACAACCGTGGCCATCTTTCCTGCACAAACACAAATGTGGCCGTCTTTTCCAAAATCGAGGAACAAATTAAGTTCATGAAACAAGGTACTACTGTACAAATTAAGGTCCAATGGTCTGAGATATAACTTTCCATAAGTGAAACCCATCTAGTACAAAGTACCAAAAATAACAGCAAAATTATCTGTGAAACACAAAATACTGTCTTATCCTAAACATAAGGGAATAGGTAGAAACACATTAATTGGCATTGTTGTCAATCATATCATAGAATCTTTAAAATCACTAACAATCTATGATCTAGGTTATGTAAATGTTTTGCTTCAAAACACTGTATTTAGGAGAAATAATTTGCCCCATGTTAATCTCAGGAAAATATTTTTTAAATCTAAAAAAATTCTCTTACAAAACCACTTTTTTTTTTGGCAGTACCAGGGATCAAACTCAAGACCTTGCGCTTGCAAGGCAGGCACAGTGCCACTGAGCTAAATCCCCAGCCCACAAAACCACTTTAAAAAAAAAATCATAATAAGCAGGTGCAATAGCGAACACCTGGAATCCCAACTACTTGGGAGGCTGAGGCAGGAGGATGACAAGTTTGAGTCCTACCTGAGCAACTGAGCACAATCCTGCCTCAAAGTAAAAAATAAAAAGGGTTGTGGATATAACCTAGTGCAAAGGCCCTGGGTCCAATCCCCAGTAACAAACAAAAACAAAAAACTTAACTAGATATTGCATCCCTGATACTGAAAATTCAGTATCCTAAATTATCCAGCTTTTATCAAACTTATAAAAAAATCAATCAAAGGAAATAGTATCCATCATCCACTAATTTCTGGAGGTGCTCTTTCCCCACTAAAGAAGGTTTATTTTTAGGACACAACTGAGTTACCTTACAGTGCAGACAACTGAGTTTTAGGTATTTAAACAAAACCATTTACTTTTTTTGGGTTTTACAACAATATGGACAGTAGAAGGGCACAAACTTTAAAACAATATACACATTTTATATTTACCAGTCAAACATTCATTGATAAAGCACAATCCCTGAGCCTCAGTTCTCTCAATTAGAAAACAGAAAAATTTTATCAAAGTGGGGGACTCCTGTAAGCTAAGCTACAAACTACACCTTATTTATTGTCCCAGCCAATTTTCAGGCACTGTTTCTAATGTTTTCTTTTTCCTTTTCTGGTATGTCATAAGTATGAGGCACATATGCACATATATGAGGCACACATATACCAAAGGGTTGTTTTTCTCCCTTCCCTTCACCCTCAGCCGCAGGTACTCTGTCTTCTCTCTCCTGACCAGGTGCAACATCTTGAATTTCAGCAGGTGGTTCCTCTTGTTGAGGTTGTTCATTACTGGGCTGCTGGGCCTAGGGGGGTGTGTACGTGTGTGCAAACAAAACGTTTATTAATATATGACTAATACAAATCTACAGAGTATATATATACTTCTGATCATAAGTGAGTGTAAAAGACATTTTTTCCAACACTATATACTTAATAAAGTTTCTCTTCCCAAAGAGTGGTTTATCAAAAAAAAATGTTACCTGCAAAGACTTTGGAAACTATTTTAAGCTATGCTGCAAAGGATGTATGCAACGTTAATCAATAAGCATGAGAAAGAAGTCATAAGCAAAATCTGGGGAAAATTAAGACTGTCAATCCAAGCAAATCCAGAGCACCTGAATCAATGTTCCTTAAATAAGATTCTATTAATTTTTGTCATGAAAAACCTTTATTGTATCTCTACTAGTTTAAAAACACTATCACAAATTTCTAGTAGAAAACATCAAATATTAAAACACTCACAACCACAGGTTCAAGAGGCTGAGTAGGTTCATCATCTCTGTCCTCCAGATTTAGGTGTTGATTTTACTTGCTCACTCATTTCACACTGAAAGCAGAATAAGTGAATTGGAAAACCCATTTAGAAGGATAACTAGGGGCTCATATTGAATATAGCTCAATAGTAGAGTACTTGCCTAGCATGCACGAAGCCCTGGGTTGATTCCCCAGCACCACCAAAAAAAACAACAACAAAAAGATAACTATATTTGACCACTTCTAAAGTGACATGTAATTGTTTTAAGTGGCAAAAATATTTCCACAATACAGTAAGTCTTAAAGTAACCTTAAGTATGCCTGCTTTTCAATCATAGCAGATCTGGCAGCCTGAAAAGACTTATGTCACAGCCAAGTTGGCAGAGTAATTGTCTTAAAATATTTTAAGGCACATGGCAAAAGACAAGGTTTTGTTGCACTAGATTCCCTGTCAGAGATAACTTGGGGCCCATCGTGGACACACTCAAGAAAACACCACTAAAGAATTAAAATTCAAGTGACTACTGCTTATGTCACACTCCCACTAACTAGGACTATTTACCCCCTAAATTAAAGTTTTGTGGTAATGCAGGCCTTCATAGTCCCTTCTTGTACCCTCAAGTCCATTTTGGTACTGTCCCTGACAGGGATGAGAAGTTGTAATACAGCGCAATGAACGGCCCCTCACTAGACCCTCTACAAATCCCGAGGATGCAGTCACAACCCCACAGTGCCCCACAATCCAAGCTCTTTCCTCACTACGCACACCAACCCCGTTCCTGTCCCCTCGAACTTGATACACCTCTGTAGGCTGTATCAAGTGCTCCTAGAGCAGATACTTCCAGCTACACCCCCAACACTAACCCTGTCTTCACCCGAATCCTTCCTTCCACAGGCCACCTGCTTCTCTTATCCTGGCCTTGCCAAAATGACAAGGCCCAAGTCAGCAGCGCCTCTGCTTGTGAAGGCAAGGTCGATGACCTCAAGGCCTTCCCAAATGCAATCTCTTCCTCACACTCATTCACACTTAAACTTTTGGGAGGACTGATCTAGGGACCTACCTGCTACGTCACAGTGGTTGAAAAGGAGTCAAGACCATAGGAACGCAACCACCCCCAAGTGCTCAGCGGCCTCCCCAAGAAAGCACGCAGTGGACATGCGCACTGAGGCCCGCAACGGCCGGGGAGCTGCAGCTCCCTGCCCCACCTCTACCCCAGGTGCCCGCTAGGGACCCAAAAATCTGTCTTCCGTCAGCTGCTTCAGGCCCCTGTGGGGCTCATATACCTCGAACCACACCCCCACCCCTCTCTGGTCCACGGTCTTCCCTCATACCGACCCACCAAACAACAAAGCCCCATGGTGGTACTGCCTGTAAGGAAAAAAAAACGACGACCTCGAGGCCTTCCTCCTTCAAAAGCCAAGACATCACTGCCCAACCCACCCAAGTCCACTGGCTCCCCCTCACATACTTAAAATTTCTGGTAGAACTCATCTACCTACCTACCACCGACGTCCCCACGGGTGAAAACAAATCAAGACGCCGGAACACTACTGGCACACGAGCTTCGCCCCGACACCCACTCAGTGCACATTGGCGGATGGGAGATGCACTTTGGGCATGCACACAGAGGCTTGCGCCTGCCCGCGAACTGCAACTCCCCGCCCAGCCCCCACATCCACGTCTCGGCTGAGGACCCCGGAGTCTACCCTCTCAGCAATTCCTTATGCCTCTTGGACTCAGTTGTCTCAAATAGTGTCCCTCCTCAAAACTTACCCCAACTTCAAATGACCCTCTGCCCCTCCATAACCCACTTTCCTCCCTTCCTCCAGTTCCACAAGGACAAGGGCCGTGGTGGCTACTGTAAGACCGTGGGCCTCACCAAACGCTCCGAGGAGCTGACTACAGCGAAGATCAGCCGCGAGAGAATGCACCGGATGAGTTGTGAAAGTAAAACAGACCTTTATTAGTCTGGCCAGACGGCACCCTCAAGCACCAAGCTTAGAGAGGGGGCCGGCTCAGGGACTGAGGTCTTTTTATAGGGGTCGCAAGAGGGAACTTGGCGAGCAAAAGTACAGAAGCGAGACGTTGGCGGTTGGGGTAGTGTAGCAACCAATCTTTACATAACAGGCATAAGGCTAACTTGCGGTTTCCTTGGAACAGCAACAAGCACATTCTGGGAACTCAACGTCCCCATGGTGAAGTGTAACAGAAACAGACAAGATGGGGCCTTATTACAAAATGGAGTAACTTTTGTTCAGTCTCACAGCTACCTGTAATGTACACTTCCTGCCAAAATAGCAATGGCAACATATTCCACAGGATTTACACAATACCGATAGTCTCATAACCTAATATTCAAAATGTTCAGCCTATGATTCAAAATTACATTCAGAATATGAAGAACCGGGCCAGGTGTGCTGGCACACCACTGTAATCCCACCACTTGGGAGGTTGAAGCAGGAGGATTGCTGTGAATTTGAGGCAAGCCTGGACTACAAAGGGAAGTTCAAGGACAGCCTGAACTACATAGAGAGATCCTGACTCAAAAAAGAAGAAAGAGGAGGAGGGGGGAAGGAGAAGGAGCAGCAGGAAGACAGAACTAGTAATATTCTTGTTGCTTTTCGGGTTGTTGTTGTTTGGGGGTTTTTTTTGTTTTTTTGGTACCGGGGATCGAACTCGGGCCCTTTAGCTTACAAGGCAGGCGGCGGCACCACTGAGCTAAACCCCCGGCCCAGAACTGGTCATATTCTAAAAGACAATCAACAAACATGAATGCAAAGAAGACCAATTTATTGGGATTATCTCACAAATTCGAGCCTGGGCAATTTAGCAACTTAGCAAGACTCTGTCGCAAAAAAATAAAACTAAATAATTTTAAAATGGTTGGAGTTGTAGCTCAGTACAAAGGCCCTGGTTCAACAAGCAATCATGAAAACTTGAAACAAATGTAAAAATAGAAAGTCTTGGCACAAAACAGAGATACACTTGGACTGCAGATGTAGCTCAGTGCCAGAGCACTTGGTAGTATGGGTCAGGACCTAGTTTCAATCCCCAGCACCTCCCCCCCCTCAAGAAAAGAGAGACAATCTAAAAACAAAACAAATGGAAATTTTAAAAGTGAAAAAGATAGGGCCAGGGATTTAGGTCAGTGGCACCGCGCCTGCCTTGCAAGTGCAACATCCTGAGTTCGATCACTGGTACCACAAAAAAAAAAGAAAGAAAGAAAGTGAAAAAGATAATAACCAAGTTAAAATCCCACTGGATGGGTTCAATAGTATAATGGAGATGAAAAAAGAATTTGTGAACTTTAAGATAGATCGATAGAAATTATCCAATCTGAACAACTCAAAAGTCTTGAAATAAAAATGAAAACATCAAGGACCTGTGAGAAAATGCTAAAATATGTCATTTGTATCACCAGAATCCCATAAGGAGAAGTGGAAATATGGATAGATATATACATATATTATTATTATAATTGCTGAAAAAGTCATAAATTTGATAAAAGATAAATCTACAGATTCAAGAAACTTAGCAAACCCCAAACAGAATAGACCTAGAGAAATCCCTGCCTAGACATGCCATAATTAAACTGCTGAAAACTAAAAACAAAGAAGAGTATCTTGAAAGCATCCAGACAAAAAGGATGCATCGCTTACAGAAGAATAATGATTTAACCCACTGCAAAATTCTCATTAGAAGCCATGAGGCCAGTAACGAAAGTCTCCATTTTTTTTTGATACCAAGGATTGAACTTGGGTCCTTGTGCTTGCAAGGCAAGCAGCAGAACCACTGAGCTAAATCCCAGCCCCAAGTCTCCATATTTTTAAAGAAAAGAACCATCAACCCAGAATTCCATGTCTATCAAAACATCTTTCAGGAATGAAGGGGTAAATAAGATATTTACAGATGAAGGAAACAAAGAGATTGCGTTGTTAGTGAACCTAAAAGGATTATAATGGAAGTACTTCAGACAGAAGGAAAATGATATCAGGAAGAAATTTGGGACATCAGGAATTATGGAAGAGCAACAGAAATGTTATTTGGCCAAATATAATAGTCTATTCTCCTTTTGAATTAATTCAAAGATATTTGAGGAGATTTAAAGCAAAAATTAAAAATTATAACATTGTATGATGAAGTTTCAATGTATATAAACATAGACTATAAGATAACTATAATATAAAGAGCATGAAATTAGAGGGACCTATTAGTAGTGAGGTTTCTACATTCCATGTAAAGTGGTAAAATATTAATTCTAATTAATCTGTAAGTTAATTATGCATTTTAATTTCCTGACAATCACATTAATATGCAAAAGATAAAATTGAAACAGGAAAATTTTTTTAAATTGCTCTAGATCTATCAGTTTTGGAAGCTTGGCCATTTTAGCCAGGCATAGTAGTGCATGCCTGTAATCCCAGCACTTAGAAGGCTGAGGCAGGGGGATTGCCATGAGTTTAAGGCCAGCCTGGACTACATAGTAAATTCAAGGCCAGCCTGAAGTACATAGCAAGACCCTGCCTCAAAAATCAAAAACACACACAAAAAAACCCCACAGAAGTATGGCCATTTTGACAATATTGGTTCTGCCTACTCATGAACAGGGGATGATGACTTTTCATTTTCTGATGTCCTCTTGAATCTCCTTTTGCAGAGTACTGTAACTTCCTTTTTTTTTTTTTTTTTTGAGACAGGATCTCGCTATGTAGTTCAGACTAGTCTTGAACTCACTATGTAGCCTAGGCTGGCCTCAAACTCGAAGCAATCCTCCTGCCTCAGCCTCCTGAGCGTTGGGATTACAGGCATGTGCCAACACACTCAACCTGTAATTTTCATTGTAGAGGTCTTTTGATTCCTTGGATAGGTTGAATTCTTTATATATATATA